CCCGGTTTATGGGTGGAAATGAAAATTTTTTTTTCCCAGGGATTAAATCTACTTCAAGTGTCTGGTAATTGGCTTCATTTTGACCCTTGGCTGCTTGTGGGTTTTTACTGCTCTATGCCTTTTTTTTTGTTTTACAAGTTTGTCTCCCCTATTACTGGCTGTAAAATGTTTTAACTCAGGCTTACAATTGGTTTTGGTGGTTCCTCTGCAGTAAATTTCTATTCAGAGATTTTTCCTTCACAATAGCAGTTGAGCTCTGTGGTTCTTCTGGCTACCAGTTGGTCTTAACACTGTACTGATGATTTTTTTGAAAAAGTGTGTTATTTTGAGTTCTCTTCTCCAAATGATCTCAGGTCTGTTTGTTAATCTTCAGTGCTGCCATGATTCAGTGGGTCCAATTGCTGCCATCATCTTTTGTTTGCGATTTTATGACCACATCAATGAGTCTGTGTTCAAGGCAGACTGTTTGAAGAGAAGACGAGATCAAGAACTACCTTCAGACTTGGGCTTCTCTATAACAGTGTTTATTACATAATAAGACCAATTAATGTGTGGGTAGGCAATGGCCTAGAGGTATTATCGCTGGACTGTTAATCCAGAGACCCAGATAATGTTCTGGGGGCCCGGGTTTGAATCCCACCATGGCTGATGGTGGAATTTGAATTCAATAAAATATCTGGAATTAAGAATCTAACAATAACCATGAATCCATTGCTGATTGTCGGGAAAAACCCATCTGGTTCACTAATGTCCTTTAAGGAAGGAAACTGCCATCCTTACCTGGTCTGGCCTACATGTAATTCTAGACTCACAGCAACGTGGTTGACTTTAAACTGCCCTCTGGGCAATTAGGGATGGGCAATAAATGCTGCCTGGTCAGTGACACCTTCATCCCGTGAATGCATAAAGAAGAAAAAATAAAATACATGATCGTCAGAGATAGACCTGGCTCTTGTCTTACTGCCCTAATATGGAAACACTATTTCACAAGCCCTACTGTATAATGGTACTCTAACTACG